AGAGACCTTTTGGGCAAACCAGTGGGATATTAGGGGTGAGGGGAGTGAGGAGATATCCTGGTGAAGTTTTGGGTCAATTTGGGTGAACTAGGGTTTTGGGGTCGAACTCCAGATCTGAAATTTGAGGAGTTTGGTTGGGATTTAAGGGAAACCGTAAAAGGATTGGGAAAGGAGGGGAGATGAAGATTGCATGATTAATATTTGGGGTGGTTTGGAGCACCGGAACCGCCGTGAGGTGATTTCTGGTGGTGGTTAGTGGCAGAGGCGGCGGGGAATTTAGGGGCGGCTTGGTCTCTAGGGTTTGGTTAAGGTAGATGAGAATGAGAGGGGTTCGAATGGGGGGGTGAAGGGTTTTCGGACAGTTATAAGCTAAGGTTAAAACTACTTCGGAGCCGTTGGATCACAATGATCCAACGGTTGGGATGAGGGGATCGGAAACGGGGTCGTCTGGCTTTAGTGGGAGGGGGCCTGGACCGGGTAACTTGTTTTTGGGCCGGATCTGGGGCTGGTTTGGGCATAAAATCAGCCCAAGTCCAAAGCTGATTTAAGCCCTTTTTCCAATTCCTTTTTTTCTTTCTGTTTTCCATTTCTTTCTTAAAATAATTAAAATCCTAAATGAAATTCATAAAGTAATATAAATTGTAAAATTAAGCTAATTATCAAACTATAATATTTATAACAATTAGTTGATCCTAAATTAAAAGAGAAAAATCACTAATCTAAAGTTAAAAGGTAAAAATGTAAAAATGAGCCATTTTTTGTGATTTTCATTTTAGTAAAGCAATTAATTAACTAATTAATCCTAAAAATATGGAAACAAAAATCTAAATGCAATACATGGTATTTTTGGTATTTTTGTCATGATTTTAATATAAGTAAACATGCACAGAAACGTAAACAATTAACAAAAAAATTCCTACGAAAATCCTATAAAATGGCAAACAATTGAAAAAAATATATTTCTTTAATTTGTAGGAGTATTTCACATAGGCAAAAATCACGTGCTCACAACACCGAAGATTGTTGGACCATTAAGAGAGCAGTTGAGAACCTGATCGAACAGAAGCAGGTAGTGTTAAGGGACGAGGAAGTCCCTAATGTAACCAACAACCCGTTACCGGCTCAAAAAAACAGGCCGGTCATCCAGATGATTTGTGAAGATAAAGAATTTGACCCTACATTAAAAGCTATTATTGCCATCGCTGATACATAAAAGAAACCTAAAACAGTGGCAAAAACAATCTAGAGATGAGAAGATCAATTCCACTCCCCAAAATGCAGAAAAGGTTGTGGAAACAAAGACAGGGGCAGCAGCTGCTAAAGATGCCATTCTCTATGTTCCTAGGGCCCCAGGAAGGAACAATTCATGTTGAGCCCTCCCAAAAGATTTGAGCAAAAAAAAGTCACGTTGAATGTGCCAAAGATATACGTGCCAAAGGGGACTTATGTGGCACGGGGGCCGATAATTTCACCAAGGCTGACTGAGCCCGTGGTTATTAGCCGCACACCACAGAGCCCCATGAAAGACCCCATTGTCGTCCCTTGGAACTACAATAAGACAGTGGTCACATACAAAGGAAAAGAAGTCATGGGAGAAGTAAATGAAATGAACCAATCTAGGAGTATCATAACCTAGAAGAATTGAACAAAACAAAGCAAAAGCGGTTTCTGCTCAAGAAGCCGGTTAGCGTTGAAGAAGCGGAGGAATTTTTCCGGAAGATGAAAACCTCGAAGTATGCTGTAATTGATCAACTAAGAAAGACTCCCTCCCAGGTTTCACTTTTTTCCTTGCTGATAAGCTCAAATGAACATCAAAAAGTGCTTCTAAAGACGTTGAATGAGGCGTATGTTCCGATTGAGACCACAGTTGAACTGTTGGAAAGAATGGCAAAACAGTTTTTCGAGGTCAACCGAATCTCCTTCAGTCGAAATGACTTGCCTCCAGAAGGAGACGCCCACAACAAATCCCTTCACTTGACTGTCAAGTGTGAAGGATATTATGTGAAAAGGGTTATGTTAGACGGTAGATCTGGAGTTGACATTTGCCCTCATCAACATTACAAAGGATGGAGATTGGGACTGAAAGGATTAGACCCAACAATGTTTTCGTACGTGCTTTCGACGGTGTCACACAGGATACTATAGGGGAGATTGACTTGGTCCTAACTATTGTCCCCGTAGATTTTGAAGTAAAATTCCAAGTTCTGGACATGGACACTTCCTATAACTTTCTCTTAGGAAGACCATGGATCCATGCCGCGGGAGCCGTTCCCTCTACTCTCCACCAAATGGTAAAGTTCGAACGTGAAAACCAAGTTTGTCCATGGAGAAGATGAATAGTCAATCTACTGTGACCCGTCAGTCCCATGCTTGGAGGCTAGAGAGGGTAGTGAACACATCGTCTACCAGGCCTTTGAAATCGTGGTCATCGACCAGTGCGAGGAAGGAACCCTATGTCCTCAACCCTGCTTGTCAAACGCATCAATCATGGTTTCCAGCAAAATGATCAAACATGGTACAAGCCCGAGAAAGGGCTCGGGGTATCCTTACAAGGCATTACAGAGCCTGTTACTTTGATTGTCAGCAAGAAGTTCTTTGGCATAGGCTTTCAAGCTACCGAGGCCGATGTAAAATAGGCCAATGAACGTAAGAACAATGGGTGAGCCCTACCTCATCCAGTCCCGCACCTATCCAAGTCGTTTGTTAAGCCAGTGTATATAGAAGAAGAAGAAGAGGCCTTCACGGCCGAAGAAATTGAGGACATCTGTGGGGCAATGAGGCAAATGCTGTACGAGGTTCACATGGTCCAACCGGGTGAAGGCTCAAGCACTACTGAGGTGCAATACATGGGGCCAAATGCTAAACTTCAAAATTGGAAGGCTACTCCATCCCAGTCAGGCGGGAATCCCGGTAGTTCAGTCTTGCCATCTTTTCTGCATTCCGAGTTATTTCAGGGTGTAACTAGAATGTTTTTAGTTTGTTGCCTTTTAAATTCTGATGTAAACCCTCCTATCTTCAAATTCATTGAAATGAAATCAATATTTCATCGTATATGAATCTCTTTCTATTATTCTTTCTGATTTTGTTATTTTTCTAATCTTTCTCTTTTCAGTTCTAATAATGCGGACTTAAATAACATGACATGCTTATGGACTTCATGCCCAGATCCTAACACGTTCTCTAACTGTGAAATAATGAATCAAGAACCAGAATATGATGAAAATGAGGCTTTTAGGGAAATAAATCGAGAACTGGAACAATTTGAGAATAAGCCTAAGCCAAACTTAAATGAAATCGAGCCGTTAATTTGGGTAGTCCAGAAGAGGGCCGGGAAACCATGATAAGCATTCACGCCGATGAAAGAACTAGATATGCACTGATCCAACTTTTGTTTGAATTCAAAGACGTGTTTGCATGGTCCTATGATGATATGCCAGGACTGAGTGTTGATTTGGTAGTGCACAAATTGCCAACTTATCCCGGTCATCCACCCGTCCAACAAAAGCAGAGAAAGTTTAAAACAGACATCAGTGATAAGATCAAAGAAGAAGTCACCAAACAATTGAAAGCTGGTGTGATCCGAGTAGTCCGATACACCACACGGTTGGCTAATGTGGTCCCAGTGCCGAAGAAAGACGGGAAAACCCGAGTGTGTGTTGATTATCGGGATTTGAACAAAGCAAGCCCAAAGGACAACTTTCCATTGCCAAACATCCACATTCTTGTTGACAACTGTTCCAAACACGAGATACAGTCTTTCGTGGATTGTTATGCTGAGTATCACCAGGTTCTAATGGATGAAGAAGACATAGAAAAGACGGCTTTCACCACACCTTGGGGCACTTACTGTTACAGGGTCATGCCGTTTGGTTTGAAGAACGCCGGGGCAACTTACATGAGAGCTATGACTGCCATCTTTCATGACATGATGCACCAAAATTGAGGTGTATGTGGATGATATGATCATTAAGTCCAGAACGTAGGAAGACCATGTGTGGGGTTTGAGAAAATTCTTTGAGCGTCTGCGCAAGTATGACTTGAAGTTGAATCCAGCTAAATGTGCATTCGAAGTTCCATCTGGAAAACTTTTGGGGTTTATAGTCAGTCGGAGGGGTATCTAGTTAGATCCAACAAAGATAAAGTCTATTTGGGATTTACCACCTCCGAGAACCAAGAAAGAGGTCATGAGTCTACTGGGAAGACTGAATTACATCAGCAAGTTCATTGCTACGCTGACTACCACCTGCGAGCCCATATTTAAGTTGTTGAAAAAAGATGCAGCAATCAGATGGGCGGATGAGTGTCAAGAAGCTTTCAACAAAATCAAAGAATATATGTCGTATCCGCAAGTGTTGGTCCCACCCAAGCCTGGGAGACCTTTGTTCTTGTACCTTACAGTCCTGGAAAATTCGTTCGGTTGTGTCCTAGGCAACATGATGTGACCGGGAAGAGAGAGCAAGCCATATACTATTTGAGCAAGAAGTTCACTAGTTATGAAGCCAAGTATACTTTATTGGAAAGAACTTGGTGCGCCCTAACTTGGGTCGCCCAGAAGCTTAGGCATTATTTGTTGTTGGCCTACACCACATATCTCATAACCAGAATGGATCCTTTGAAATATATATTCCAAAAACCGATGCCCACGGGAAGGTTAGCAAAATGGCAAATCCTGCTCACTGAGTTTTGACATAGTCTATGTCACCCGCATGGCAATGAAAGCTCAAGCCTTGGTGGATCATCTAGCTGAGAACCTAGTTGATGATGAATACCAACCTCTAAGTACTTATTTCCCGGATGAGGAAGTAAATTAAGTTGAAGTAATTCCAAAAAATGCCCATGCTTGGAAAATGTTCTTTGACGGAGCTGTAAATGCAAAAGGTGTCGGGATTGGGGCAATTTTGATTTTGCCCACTGGTCAGCACTATCCGGCCACAACCCGGCTTCGGTTCTTTTGTACGAACAACACTACTGAGTATGATTCTTGCTTTATGGGCATGAACATGGCAGTTGATCTGAATGTGGAAGAATTGTTAATCATGGGAGATTCTGACTTGATTATTCGGCAAGCTCAAGGTGAATGGGAAACCCGAGATATCAATCTTATCCCATATAGACAACATGTGGAAGATCTTAGCAAATGGTTCAAGTTCGTCGAGTTCAAGTATATTCCTCGATTCCACAATGAGTTAGCTGATGCACTAGCTACTTTTGCCTCAATGTTGCCGTATCCGGGCAATGTCCACATTGACCCACTGGAAATCCAAATTCGAGAAAGACATGGTTATTGCAATGCGGTTGAAATAGAACCAGATGTTCAGCCGTGGTATCATGATATCAAAAGGTTTTTGAAAACAAAAGAATATCCCGAGCAAGCCAGCGGAGACCAAAAGAGAACCATTAGAAGGCTCGCCAGCAGTTTCTTCTTGAGCGGAGAGGTCTTATACAAAAGAACTCCAGATCTGAATCTTTTAATGTGCGTGGATGCCCAAGAGGCTGGAAAGATTATGAACGAAGTGCATTCGAGAGTATGTGGGCCCTACATGAACGGATATGTCCTTGCAAGGAAAATCCTTCGGGCAGGTTATTACTGGATGACCATGGAAAAGGATTGCTTCAGCTTTGTCCAAAAGTGCCATCAGTGTCAAATACACGGTGACTTGATTCATGCACCGCCTTCAGAGTTGCATCCTATGTCAGCACCTTGGCCATTCGTCGCTTGGGGTATGGATGTCATTCGGCCAATCGAGCCAAAAGCTTCAAACGGGCATAGATTCATCCTGGTTGCTATTGATTATTTCACAAAGTGGGTTGAAGCAGTCACTTTCAAAGCCGTCACCAAGAAAGCGGTGGTGGGCTTCGTGCATTCCAACATCATTTGTCGTTTTGGTATTCCTAAAACTATCATCACAGATAATGTTGCGAATCTGAATAGCCATTTGATGAGGGAGGTATGCGAACAATTTAAGATTAGGCATCGTAACTCTACCCCTTATCGGCTCAAAGCTAATGGCGTTGTTGAAGCTGCAAACAAGAATATCAAGAAGATCCTTAGGAAAATGATTCAAAGTTATACACAATGGCATGAAAAGCTACCTTTTGCATTATTGGGATATCGTACAACCGTGCGCACATCAATTGGGCCACACCCTATTTATTAGTTTATGGCACTGAAGCCGTAATACCTGCAGAAGTTGAAATTCCCTCTCTTCGAATAATTGTTGAAGCTGAGATCAAGGACGAGGAATGGGTCAAGACCCGATTGGAACAATTAACTATGATCGATGAAAAGCGGATGGCTATAATTTGCCATGGGCAGTTGTACCAACAAAGAATGTCCCGTGCCTACAACAAGAAAGTGCGGCCTAGAAACTTTGAAGTGGGGCAACTCGTTCTGAGACGTATTCTCCCGCATCATGAGGAAGCAAAAGGAAAATTTGCTCCAAATTGGAACGGTCCGTACATTGTAAGAAAATTATTGCCAAAAGGAGCGCTGTATTTGGCAGACATCGAAGGAAATGATCCCGGAACAGTTGTTAATGCAGATGTTGTCAAAAGGTATTATGTTTGACCCTTTTTACATGATTTTAATGCTCTCTGATTGGGATGACAAAGGATTTCATTCTCGCTACCCAAACACTACCAACCCTTGCAAACCCTTCGAGTCGGTTCCCCTTTTCTTTGATTACCCTCTTTGGAACCAGAAAGTTGTTATGAAAAGTAAAAAAATGGAAAAAAAAAAAGAAAAGGAAAAAAAAGAAATCAAATACAAAGTTCCTTGAATTACGTTTGACTTGATTCCGAAAGGATACGTAGGCAGCCTCTCTCTGGGGTTCAGTCACACCAAAACAAAAATCCACATTTCCCTAAAGTCGAAATTGGGGAAGAAGATACAATGATCCGGCAATAGTTTTGCCTGAAAGGTTCCAAAGTTGTAATTTAGTCCAAATTCTATTTACCCAAATCCTTTTCAAGTCCTTCCGATCAATCAGCGAGAATGTTCAAATTGGAGGATATAATCGTTTGGATCTGATACAATCAAAATGAGAGAGTCTTATTGGTAAAAACCCTAATGGGCACTGTAAGGCGACGGTAAGTAGAGAAATTGAAATGAGAGAGTATTGTTAGTGAAAACTCGCAAAGAGCACTACAAGGTGACGGTTAGAAGAGAAATGAGAGAGGTTAGCTGGTGAAAACCCGCAAAGGGCGCCACTGATCGAAAAAAGTATCCTCACGATTGTTCGGCATCGACAGAGTCCTGGCAAGGTTTTTCAGTTTTGAGGTATAAATTATGATGAATTTATGAGAGTTGGACGGTTTACATAGATCGGGTATCCAGTCCAAGAGGCATGTCATGTTCATTGAAGTCTGCATGTACTCCAGATAAGTCCTTCTTTCCTTTCCCCGAAAGGGACACCTCTCATTTAAATTCATTATCCTTTCCATTGTTTGTTTTTCTTTGAATTTCTTTCGGTCTAATTCTGTTTCGAAACTAAGACAAAGAAACGATGGGAAGATTGGTTTACAGGGTCTTGTTTGACACAAGCCAATATTCAAGAAGGTATCCAGCCTCGGCAGGTGCATCGAGTCGACTTCGACAGGCCATAATGGCCGATGCTTTGAAATCAAAAACTCCTGAAAAGAAAGGAAATCAAAGTTAAACGCCCACGAAGTTTAAAAAAGATGAAAAAGGTTAAGTCCCACCCATAAAAGTTCTGGAAAAGCCAAGTTAGCCAGGGCCAGAAATGAAATCGATCCTCAGGGAACAAGCAGTTGTAGTTGAGATCTTCATCAAAAGTACCGGGTCGAGATCAAATGACTGAAACGCTCAAGACCACAAAATCAACCACCGTTTCAAACTGACAAATTGTTCTTTGTTTTAAAAATAGGAAATGGGTGCAATTCAAAGCAACCTTGCAAGAAGCAGGTGCAACAAAGGCAAACCACGCAGAGACTAAAATGGTTCTACAGCAATAATCAATCCAAAAGGGAAGTCTCCTCCAAATTCTTTCTTGCATTTTACTCACTCTCTTAAATAAAAATAATGAAAAATGAAATGAAAAGAAAGAAAAGAAGAAAAATTCAAAGCCATGGTGGTATAGGGTCTCCAATCCCTAACTGCATCTTTCCAACATAAAGCCACCACTCCCTAGTTGATGACTGTTCAACATAGGGTCTCACTCCCTAGTTGATGCAAGCATAACCTGATGACTTTCCGATATAGGGTCCCACTCCCTAGTTGATGCCAGCGATGACTTTCCAACATAGGGTCTCACTCCCTAGTTGATGCCAGCATAACCTGATGACTTTACGACATAGGGTCCCACTCCCAAGTTGATGCCAGCATAACTTGATGACTTTCCAACATAGGGTCCCACTCCCTAGTTGATGCCGACATAACCTGATAATTTTCCAACATAGGGTCACACTCCCTAGTTGATGCCAGCATAACCTGATGATTTTCCAACATAGGGTCCCACTCCCTAGTTGATGCCAGTATAACCTGATGACTTTCCAACATAGGATCCACGTTCCCTAGTTGATGCCAGCATAACCTGGTGATTTTTCCAACAATAGGGTCTCCAATACCTAGTTGATTTCATTTTAGATATAGGGTCTCCACTCCCTAATCTCTTTTTACCAAGGATACACAATCCTAATTTTTATTGCTTTCAATAGTGAAGTAGTATAGAGTTTTGGTTACAAATAACTCACGAAATTTTCCTAGTGAAAACTGGGGCAGAAAAATTCCGTTCGTTTGTTTATTTTGATGTCTAAGCAGGTTATACCTCGAGACATAGGGTTCGAGATGACCAAAAGAAGAAGTCTCAATCTGAAATAAAAGAAAAGGAAGAAAAGAAAAAGAACTGAACTCAAAGTGCAGAAGCGGAGAAAAGATGTGGACTGCTCAAGACATGATTGAAGTCACAACCTTTCCATGTCCCGCCTTGATCCGAGAAGCTGAAGGAGAATGAACGAGCACTTGCAGCTAACAAGCATCAAGATTCAGATCAGAGTCTGCATGAAGAATCAGCCAAGACTCAAGATCAAGCTTAAGAAGATTTATAGATACGATTGTAACTCGTAGCCGGTAGGTTTAGCTAGTTTAGTTTTTCATTTTGATTTTTGGTGAAATAAGGAGCTCAGCAAGCAGTAACAGCATCAACAGCAGTGAAATCACAGTTTTTCGGTAGTCCCAGCTACCACAATTTTCAGAACTACACTGACCTGATTCCTTTATAGCCAAAGATATGTAGGCAACCTCCGAAGCAAGGTTCGGTCAAACTTTTTCAAAATGCTTCCCATGGAGTATCCAAACGGGCAGAAATCGCTCGTAATTGCTCACTTTATCTTTGCCCGAAAACCCTTCGTGTTTCCGAGCAAAGAGGGGCAGCTGTGAGCACGTGATTTTTGCTCGATGAAAATATTCCTACAAATTCACAAAAAATAGATTTGTTTTATTTATTTTAATTTTGCATAATTTTTAGGAATTTCTTGCTTATTGTTGTTTGCATTTTAGTTGCATTTTTTATATTTTCAAATTATGAAAAATATCAAAAATTGTCTAAAATATTCATTGCATAACATTTTAGGTTTATTTTCATTTAAGAATTAATTGCATTGAGTTAGATGCATTATTAAAACAAAAATTACAAAAGTGATGTTTATCTTTACATTTTTTTGGCTTTTAGTGTTAAATTAGTAATTTTCTTTTATTAATTCAGGATTAATTAATTATGTAAATAATATAAATAGATAATAAGTTTACTTTTACAAATTAGATTGATTTAGGACTTAATTTAGGATTTTTATTAATTTAATTAGAATTTAAAATCAAAAATCAAAAAAAAAAAACTAAGGAAAAGGAGGAAAGTCTTTCCTAGTTTTATACTGGATTGTGCTAATCTCAAGAGCCCAAATGAATCTCCAAATCCACCAGCCCAACTCCCATAAACACCCAGTCCAATTTCCCTCTTACCAAAACGACCCCATTTTAACCAAGTCAATCCCAACCGTTGATTTCCCACCATCCAACGGCTGGGAATCGATTTCCCACCCCCTTATATATGTCCGAAACCACCCCCTAACCCCAAAACTCCCCCCATTCTCTTCATCTCTCTCTAAAGCCCTAACCCTAGCCGCCCAAGCTCCCTCAGAACCCTAGCCGCCATAGAACAATCACCACCGACGACCACCACACAAACGGCCCCAATCCTTCCCAAATCAACACCTTATACTCCTCATCCTCCCCTGTCCTCAAACCCCATATCCATTTCCTTATAATCCCCACCCATCTTCTCCAATTTCAGATCTGTAAATCCTGAAAAAACTTAAATCCTTCCTTTTCCAATTACTCCTTGACCCCGGCCCGTTTGAACTCAAAATCTACATCATTGATTGCTCTTGATGAGAGAAATCAATTGATGTTAGTATCAGTTCATCCCACGGCCATCGGAGTTTGTTCGATCTACCGGAGTTTGGTTGGAGTTTCATCGTTTCTCCTCGGAAGACGAGTAGGTAATTCCTCTGCTTTATTTTATTTTTCTTCTTCTTTTTACGTGTTTTTCTTTCAACCAAACGACCCTTCTATTCCTTCCCAATTTCTTCATCAGTTTGTTTGCCCTAATGATTAAGAGGTTTAATTACTCATTAAGTTAGTATAAACATATAACATTTAGTTTAATCGATTTTAGATTAGTTTGGACAACTGGAATAGTTTACTTGTTAAATTAGGCATCGATCTTGTTTTGTTTCTGTTTTTACATGATTTACTTGTCAGTTAATTGCATGATTGTTTAGTTTAATTGCTTGTGTTAGATTAATTGAATTAACTTTAATTAGTTCAGTGATCTAGTTTGGGTGAATTAGTCATTTATTTCTGTTTCATTATGATCTTTGATTTGGTTTTTTGATAGCTTGATTGCTGATTGGATTTAAGGGGGATTGAAGGGATAATTAGCAAAAGCTAAAGGGGTCAAAGGGATTTAAAAATTTAGGAATCTGATTTATTCGTTTGGAGAAGTCTCTAAAAGAGACTAAAGTGTATTAAAAATCAGAATTTGAGTCAGATTTTGGGGTTTAAAAGGTTTAAAATAAGAAGTAAAAGGGTTTAAAAAATGAGTAAATATCTTAATAGGACAGCTGTCCTAACAGCTGTACCAAAATCTGTTAAAAAGATGCTTTCTTATCCCTTTTTATAGCTGACATCCCTGAAATTGATGCGGGAATATTCACTATCAGACCCTCTCTCATTCCTATCCTTGTGCATTCCTACATTCTATATAAAGGACCTCACACTCACACACACACACACACACATACATTATCATCAGGATATTCACTCTAAAAAGGCATCTTTGAAAAAAAACAAGGAATTCCGTGAAAGATTTCTTCATTTCACACTGATTTCTTTCCTTTTCTTGGGTCTCAAAGTAGGTTTAGAAATAGAAACTAGTTTTCTGTTGTAGTTGGCTCACTATTTCTGCTATTAAAGGGTTGATTTCAGCTCAATCTCCTATTATTTTTGATGCTGCTCTGTTGCTACTGTTGTTCTGTTCTGCTTCTGCTCCTTCTCAATTTCAGAGCTTTATTTTCTTTGTTTGATTCTGCTGTACAGGTATGGGTTGAACACCTACTTTACCTTTGGATTATGTACGTGAAAGTTTGAAAGCCATCTGGTGAACTGCAGCCATAAAGTTTTGTTTTTGTTCTGTTTGTCTTTGATGTTACTATTCCGTTTATCATGTAATTTACTGTTTTGTCATGTAATTTTGTCATGCTACTATTCTGTTTTTGTCTGTAATTTATACAACTTTTGTTATATGTTCAGTTTTTAGGCAGTAGTATTCACTGATTTTTAAGAATGTATGAATTGGACTTTGAACTCTATGTTCAATCACTAAACAATGTTCAAATTTGTCGCCTCAGAATTCAAGTAATGGTAAGGTGTTTAAGTTGTCTGTAATAGTAGCTATTGAGTACTTGTGCTCATTCACAATTCTTGTCTCTTGTCTCATATTGAGGGAGTTGCATGAGTCTTAGGTTTGTGAAATTGTTCTGTCCATGATTGTCACTCTATTCAGTAAAAATAGTTCAAAAATTAGGTGATGGTACAAATTCTGTGTGTACCCATATTTTGATGGTTAAGTTTTGTATGATAACACCAATTGTGGCTAGGATCGTTCACCTCTGTAATAGTCTGAGTTAAAAAATGTAATTTTTCTCTTTGATTGGCGTTTCAAGTTGTCAAACATTTAAATAGATTTGTAATCTTATTTGAAAGCTCTATGCTGTAATAATCTATTGATTCGTTGATTTGATGATCATAATTATCATGTTTCGCATACTAGCTAATTTAGTGGATGTGTCTTTGTACTCTATTGGCTAACAAGCTATTGGGCTCCAAGCCCATTTCGGATTGAAGAAAAAAAGGCTAAATGACTTTCAACCCATTTTTGTTCTATTAACAAATCAAAAGTGACACAAGAATCACGTTATTTATAAGATATTTGGCAATCTGCCAACTCACCTTTTTTTTATATTTATTCCACATACTTGGACCTTCCATACACGATTTCAAACTTAGAAGAATCAATCAATCCATGAACATTCAAAGCTTTGCTTTAGGCGCGATTAGTAAATCATCACAGCTATGGGTACAGTTCCCGTGACATAGTCGTGATATATAATCTCCAATTCGGGTGTACATTTCATGTGATCCGACCACAACTTTGAATAATATTAAAATAAATATATCGTAAATTGCGGGTGCATTTCATGTGGCGCGATTTGCGATATGTACCAAAACGACAAGTGTACGACATCGTGACTTGTTCCAGAAATAATTTCATAAGCAAATAAAAGCGGTTATAAAGTTAAAAAGGCACAATAGATTTAAAACGTGTAATAACTCAGGTAATTAGGCCAATTATTAATAGTTGAGCGACCGTGTTAAAACCACGGAACTCGGGAGTGCCTAACACCTTCTCCCGGGTTAAAAGAATTCCTTACCCGGTCTTCTGTGTTTACGGACCAAAAATAGAGTCAATTTCCTCGATTTGGGATTTAAAATAAACCGGTGACTTGGGACACCATAAATATCCCAAGTAGCGACTCTAAATTAAATAAAACAATTCCATTTCGATTAATGTCACTTAAATTGGAAAAAACTCCCTATCCCCCCTCGGGAAAAAGAAGGTGTGACAGCTAATGGTCCATCGAATGTCCTTCTGTATAATGTTCCATCTTCATCCAATGTGAATCGGGCAACTTTGGTTCGTAGGCCCTCGATTGTTTGGGGTCCGATGGGAGTTTTCCATTCTTCAAGTATTCAATATATTTATTCCTCCAATCCAAGGTCAATCTTATAGAGTTTATCTCGGTATGCCTTTCTCAACCGCTAATCTCGAGAGTTGAACGATAGTCCTTGAGCTGATCTCATCTTCCTTGACCGACGACCTTAGATTTGCAAGTGCATCGGCCTCACTGTTTTGTTCTCGAGGTACATGCTGTAAAGTCCATTCCTTGAAACGGTGCAAAGTTACCTACAGCTTGTCCAAATACCTTTGCATTCTATCCTCTCGAACTTCGAAGGTTTTGTTTTCTTGGTTCACCACCAGTAAAAAGTCACACTTGGCTTCCATAACTTCTGCTCCCAAGCTCTTAGCTAGCTCGAGACCTGCAATCATGGCCTCGTACTCGGCCTCATTGTTAGTCAACCTAGAAGTTTTGATAGACTGCCTAATAGTGCTACCCGTGGGTGGCTTCAGAACGATGCCTAACCCGGACCCATTCACATTCGAAGCACCGTCTGTGAAAAAGGTCAACACCCCCGAGGATGTGCCTGACTTTAACAAAAGTTCTTTTTCAACTTTGGGTTCGAGGGTTGGCATGAAATCGGCCACGAAGTCCGCCAAAATTTGGGACTTGATGGCCGTTCGAGGTTGATACTCGATATCGCACCCACTGAGTTCGACGGCCCATTTGGCCTATCGGCCCGATAGTTCAGGCTTTTGCGAAATATTACAAAGTGGGTAAGTGGTTAATACGCATATGGGGTGACATTGAAAGTATGGTTTAAACTTTCTAGAAGCGCTTACAGTGCAAGTGCTAATATCTCTAAGTGTGGATACCTAGTTTCTGCTTCTCCTAAGGTTCGACTTACATAATAAAAGGAAAATTGCGCACCTTGCTCTTCCCGAACTAGGACACCACTTACCGCGGTTTTCGATACTGCCAAGTACAAGTAAAGTTTCTCATCTGCCTTTGGAGTGTGAAGTAGTGGTGGGATCGATAGGTATCTCTTTAACTCCTCTAGTGCTTGTTGGCACTCCGGGGTCCAGGTGAAATCGTTCTTCTTTTTTATCAAAGAGAAAAATCTGTGGCTTCGATCCGACGACCTCGAGATGAATCGGCCTAAAGCAGCTATCCGTCCAGTTAGCCTCTGCACGGCCTTTACACTGTCCACGACGGTGATGTCTTCGATGGCCTTGATTTTATCGGGGTTGATTTCGGTGCCCCGGTTAGACACCATAAAGCCCAGGAATTTGCCCGAACCGACCCCGAAAGCACATTTCTCGGGGTTGAGCTTCATGTTATATTTTCTCAAAATCTCGAACATTTCCTGCAAATGAGTCAAATGGTCCTCTGCGTGCAGGGACTTAACTAGCATCTCATCAATATAAACTTCCATTGACTTACCTATTTGTTCTTCGAACATCTTATTTACTAGGCGTTGGTAAGTAGCTCATGTACTTTTTAGCCCAAGGGCATTACATTATAATAATATCTTCCATATTTGGTGATAAATGAAGTCTTTTCCTGGTCTTCCGGGTTCATTTGAATTTGATTGTACCCGGAATAGGCAGTGAGAAAGGTAAGGATCTTGTGGCCAGCCGTGGTGTCGATCATGCGATCGATGTTAGGCAGTGGAAAAGAATCTTTGGGGCATGCCTTGTTTAAATCCTTATAGTCTACACACATTCTAAGTTTGTTCCCTTTTTTAGGGACTACGACTACATTGGCTAGCCATTCGGGATATTTTACCTCTCGAATGGACCCTATTTTGAGAAGTTTAGTTACCTCGTCCTTTATGAATGCGTGCTTTTCCTCGGACTGGGGCCTTCTCTTTTGTTTCACCGGTTTGAACCTGGGGCCAAGGCTTAGCCGATACGTTTTTATCTCCGTTGGGATCCCTGTCATGTCTAAATGGGACCAATCAAAACAATCCATGTTATCAATAAGAAATTGAATAAGCTTTTTCCTGAGTTCGGGGGTTAACCCCGTTCCCAGGTATACCTTTCGCTCGGGCAGGTACTCGATCAATATAACTTGTTCCAACTCTTCGACCGTTGATTTGGTGGCGTCGGAGTCTTCGAGAACAATAAAGGTTCGAGGGGTCAGAAACTCCTTCTCTTCTTCTTCTATATCCTGTTTCCCAATTCGCTCGAGGCTGGTGGTTGTGATTGCTATTTGGCTTCCTGTTTACCTACGATGCTCGACCTTTTCGAATTTGATAGTGTTGATATCGGTGTTACCTCATAGACCGCAAACATTTCTTTTTTGGCATGCTGCTCCCCGTATACTATTTTTACACCGTCCGTCATCGAAAATTTCATCATTTGGTGGAGAGTCGAGGGGACTACCCTCATGTTGTGGATCCAAGGCCTTCCGAGTAGGGAATTATACCTCATGTCGCCCTCGATCACGTGGAATTTGGTATCTTGAATGGTTCCAGCCACGTTCACCGAAAAATAATCTCCGCTTTAGTTGTTTCACTGGCCATGTTGAAGTCGTTTAAGACCCAAGCTACGGGCACAACTTGATCTTGTAGGCCGAGTTGCTCCACAACCCTCGATCGGATGATATTTGCTGAGTTACCTGGATCCACTAAAACACGCTTAACTTGAACTTTATTAAATAAGATAGAAATTACCATGGCGTCGTTGTGTGGATGAGAAATGCCTTCTGCTTCTTCGTCGTTGAATTATAAGGAGCCTTCAGGCACATAATCTCGGGTTCATTTTTCGCTAATGATTGACACCTTAGTGCGTTTGAATATGGGTCCCTAAGGAACATCGACCCCACCGACGTTCATATGAATGACATGCTGGGGTTCCTCCTGTTCATTTTTCCTGTTGGCGTCCATTTCTCTGAAATGATTCTTAGCTCGATCGTTGAGGAAATCTCGAAGGTGACCCTCATTGAATACACGGGCTACCTCTTCCCTCATTTGCCTGCAATCCTCGGTTTGTGACCATGCGTGCCATGATACTTGCACATCAAATTTGGATTTCTTTGGGAAGGATCAGTCTGTATGCGTCTGGGACACCTAGTATCTTTGATCCTTCCGATTGCCGATACAATGGCCGATGCATCGATGCTAAAGTTATACCTCGATAACCGAGGTGCCTCCACGGGATTGGCATGCTTATCATAACTACTTTTGCTCATAAGTCCCCGAGAATTCTGCCCTCGATCGCTTCTTCGATCATTCCGGGAGGGATTGCGTCCCGAACCATTGTTCCTTCGATCTGCGGTATATGGCTGATATCATTCTCTGTTCGACCTTGGCTCCCTGTTGACGTCTCTCGGGGTTTTAACTGCCAACCTATTTGGATGTACTGAACCGGAGGGGGACCCTAATTGGTCGTCCTCGACCCTGATCTTCGATTGATATCGATTGTGCACATCTACCCAAGTTATAGTTGGATACTCGACCAAATTTTGTTTCAACTGTTGTGATGCTATCGAACTACACTCGTTCAACCCTTGGGTGAAAGCTTGAACGGCCCAATCATCTGTGACCGGTGGCAACTCCATGCGTTCCATTTGAAATCAAGATACGAACTCCCT